TTCCCTCCCCCCCCACTCGATGCTGGGTAATGGCGGTCGAGTAGCGCGAGCTTTTAGCCAACATGGAGTCCTCCTTGCCACTGCGGACAAATCAGCCGCCGTTCAGATATCCGTGGTCAAGCCAGCCGCGCTAGAATTTGAAGTGCGCCTATATACTCTATATACTTACATTTACGGTAAAGATATTGAAACGGGCCAACGCTCACGATTTTCAAAATAAAATACCTTAACTCCAATGCTGGATTAATTATGAACTTTCAAGCTTAATAAAAACACTTTTCTTAATATTTGCAGCATAAGGACACAATTTCTAGATTCTACATGACTCGCACTAAAAACACTTTTTTTTTATATTTACAGCATAAGGACATCATTTATGGATTCTACATGACCCACACTATTACCACACAAAGAATCAAGCATTTCTACTGTACCATTCTGGAGAAAACTCACATTAAAGATGTGACTCCAATGCTGTATTAATTATGAACTTCCAAGTTTAATAAAAACACTTTTTTGAATATTTACAGCATAAGGACATCATTTATGGATTCTACATGACCCACACTATTACCACACAAAGAATCAAGCATTTCTACTGTACCATTCTGGAGAAAACTCACATTAAAGATGTGACTCCAATGCTGTATTAATTATGAACTTAATTTCTTAAAATCATCTTATGATTATCTTAACTTTTCTACTTTATGCATTTTTCCATATTATTTTAATAATTTTCCTCTCTCCTCCTTCCTCTCTTGCCGTCTCATTTTTATTCCTGGTTCTCTCCGGGACCCGTATTTACAGCTTCGCTGTCACTGCAGAGAAAGAGAAAAGAACCTCCAGAAACAAATGTAAAACTAAAATACACCATCAAATTTTACAAATGCTCTAGTCACCTTGTCAGGAAAGCGTGCACGTTATCAAAGCCGCGATGTTTAGCCTGGTAAACCAGCACTCCTGTGGCGCAGTGACCTTTTCGGGCGCGACAGAAGCTGCAATTACAGATCCCTCTGCAAGGCGGGCACTGCCACTCCTACCGGCGACAGTGAAATCAGTCACACTTGCCACACGTGGGTCATCAAATGTGAATGCAATCTCGTATGTTTAAGTATTCACCGGATTCAGCAGAGCGTCTCGGACCTCCTCCCCATAGCGGTTACGGAGACATGGGCCGCAGAACTGACCTCTCACCCCGACACACTCTGGATTTCGGCAGTTAGTTTTGGTGTCTGTTGTCTTCTGGCGGCACTGGTGACAAGTAGATCCCTGAGAGAAGGAAAAGAGTGTTACCACAGAATTACCATGAAATACAGCTGCTCAAATCTCATCAGTGAAGATGATACATACAGTGGGGCTGTGGACTTTCTCCCGCACATTCTGGCAGATCCCCTGCAGCTCTGCCTCCGTGATGTCCTCCACAGGCCGCACTACGTGAGGGATGGCCTTGGTAGCATTAAATGTACGACGGCGAGGCTGCAGTCTGTTCGGCATGTCTTGCAGCTGGCGGGTAAGATTAAGGACCTGTTCTTTGTCATTCTTATTAGATGTACTCTGCCCTACCTGCTTCTCCCCTTCAGTGTGATTTTGGCTCTCCTCTTCCTTCTTCACTATGGGTATCTCTGTCTGGGTGGTGGTACTGGCCAGCTCTGGGAGAGGTGCTGGGGGGAGACTGGTTCCTGCAGTGTTTGTCTCCAAGGCGACATCCACAGCAGCATCAATATCACCAGTAGCATCAGCAGCAGCAGGCACTGATGGAGAGCACAGTGGGCTCATATCCACTGATGAGGATGTAGCTGAGGAGTTCCTTTGGAAGTAACTTACTCTGGGTCTTTTGGGTGTTCCTTGTGGAGTAACAGACTGTACTCTTTTGTCCCTGTTGTGTAAACAAAGCACTGTTAATATACTTCTTAAACACCATGAATATACTTGGATAGACCTAAGCTACACTTCAAATGCATGTATACAGTATGTACAGTGTATCCAACCCATGGTAAAAATAAAACCTCAAAAGGAACTGTGTGCTCAGCAGGACTGATTTCACATACATTCTTCTGCCTGTTGAACCTGGATCTGTTGACACTGAAGCATCCGTAGTTTGGTGTGGAGCTGTACCTCCTCGTGGAGCATTTTCCATCTGCTGCTGCAGGCTCAATCTGAGCTCTTCACACTGGGATACCAGGCTTGCCCTTTCCTCCTCCACAATGTCCAACTGGAGACGTAGCACACAGGGGACCCAAAGAGGAAAGAAAATAATAAACATGTATAAATGATACGTGATGATGACATAGCGTGGATGCATGTGTAACTAACACTTATTAGCTTTTCTGAGCATTTAACTGCATCTTATGGCCTTTTAATTTCCATTTGTGGTGAAAGACTAATATGTTTGAAAGCTCAGAAAAGCTAGTATACAGACCACTAGTGGAGTTTTGATTATTTTGTTACACAAGATATTCCTAAATGTCAAGAAAAAATGTCCATGCTCATGCCAACAAAAAGCATTTTGTTGATATCCCAAGTAGCACTTTCTGTTTTCTGTTTACTCCATATATACACAGCTCCATATATATGTTTAGAGAGTTCTTGGTTGTTGTAATTCTATTCTTTAACCTCCAGCTGGAACACTGACCTGTGAGCGCAGTCCATCCCTCTCCTTGGTTCTCCTCCTGCAGTCTGTTCTGCATGTCTTGCAGCTGGCGGGTAAGATTAAGGACCTGTTCTTGAAGAGTGTCTCTCTCCTGAGCTGTTGCCTGCATCAGATCCAGGAGCTGGTCTTGCTGTTTCTGTACTTCAGCAATACTGGGATGGTGAAGTGGAGAGTATCTGTTATTACAGGCATCCATGCAGGAAGATCCTGCAGCTTTGTCGTTTTCCAGATGATGTGTGACTCCATTCTGCAAGTGGTGTGTTTCTTGATTCTCATTTTGAGTGTTTCCACTGCCCTCTTGCTTAATTACTCTTTGCTCAGTGGCACAGACATCAGTGTCCACATGCGAACTCTGTTCTTTGTCATTCTTATTAGATGTACTCTGCCCTACCTGCTCCTCCCCTTCAGTGTGATTTTGGCTGTCCTCTTCCTTCTTCACTTTGGGTATCTCTGTCTGGGTGGTGGTAGTGGCCAGCTCTGGGAGAGGTGCTGGGGAGGGACTGGTTCCTGCAGTGTTTGTCTCCAAGGTGACATCCACAGCAGCATCAGTATCATCATCATCAGCAGGCACAGATGGGGAGCACAGTGGGCTCATACCCACTGATGAGGATGTAGCTGAGATGCCACTTTGGAAGTAACTTACTCTGGGTCTTTTGGGTGTTCCTTGTGGAGTAACAGACTGTACTCTTTTGTCCCTGTTGTGTAAACAAAGCACTGTTAATATACTTCTTAAACAACATGAATATACTTGGATAGACTTAAGCTCACAATCCACACAAAATCATACCTCAGAAGGCTTGGTGACAGAGAGCATACACTAGAAATAACTGGAAGACCACTGTTACTGGAAGGGGTGCAGGCTACAGAGAAAGGAAACAAACATTTTAATCTTCAAAACTTTCTCTCATTCACTTGCACACACAGTCATTTTTCTTACCAGCTTGTGAAATGGTGGAGGACCTCAATGGAGAGGATTCAGCTCTAGCAGCACTCCCTTGTAGTGACTCAGTGTTAGACCTCGTCTTTGGCGTAGTGGGAGTGGAGGGGGAATGGACAGTCTATCAACAAGAACAAACAAAAAGAAAACAGACCGATACATTCTTTTTAAATATTACTAAATTATATCCACCTTGTGTAATTCTTAAAACTTTGTGGAGACTGTAAACACAGTCCCCTTGACATCAAATGGAAAGCGCGCTGTTTGACGCAGCTGCCGTGTCAGGCGTTGTTCCTGCCGTCTAAGAGCATCATTTTGTCTGCTCATAGCCAGATAGTGGTCTTCCTCATACCTTTGAGTCTCACCAACCTAGACCAAAAATAGTAATAATAATAATAAAAAACAACCCAAAAGCACTATTAATTATGCCTTAATAACCACGGATTCAGAAATCAATAATATCAGTACAATAAGGGATTGTTCCTATTTTAATTCCAGCAGACAATGCGTCCTTACCTTTTGTATTTTCCTCGCTTGTTGCATTTTGTTTCCTCTCTCTCTTAAAAGCAAACAAATAAATAAAATTAAATAAATAAGGTAAGGACCCATAGCGGTTCACGTTACGGCCAAAAGTGTGGTGTGTGCGCCATGTAGCATCTCACATGCAGTTCGTGTGA